TCAATGTTTTCTCTCTTTAGTCAGCCTCATTTTGATTTGATGTCGTATCGGTTCACGTTCAGTTTGAAATTTAAGTTAAATAACGCAGATTAATTAGGTTTTTAAAATTATATTAATATCTGTTTGTAATATTTGTTGTTTCAGATAAAAAACATTTGTTATTGTTACGTCCCCGACAGGAGATGTTAAAATGTGAAGGAGGGGGCAACATAAGAAATGTGATAGTGGAGTTAAAATGGGTTTAATTGTTATAAAAGGTTCTAAAAACAAGTGCAAACAGATGGAAAGCATTATTAAAATAATGCAAAACAAATTTCACTATAAGGTTAACAGTTAAAAGACAACTTATCAACTATATAAAACACCTGGTTAAAACTTTATTAAAAGATTGACCTAAACTGAAGGCGTTTTAAAAACACAACGAAGTTGATAAAAGTCTAAAAACTAAAGCAGAGTTAACCTTAAAACAGAGTCAACTAAGTTGACATCAACCAAAGATCCATGTGGATCACTGAGAGGTTTTTCCTTTAAACTCCTCAACTCAGAGTTGAAACTTTAAAAGTTAAAACTCATCACAAACAAAGGGTATAAAAACAAAACGAGGCCTGGAGGACACCAGAACCCCTGCACTGCTGCCTCCCAGACTGCTGAAGGCACAGCCTTTTTATCCCAGGTGTGGGTCATCAGCAGGATTCAGATCAGCTGTGCTCCTCAGCAGCCTGGAAGAGAGGAGGAGGAGGGGCGATGTCCGGCTGATCACCAGGGCTGGGTGATCCTGGCTCCTGCATCCCACTGGCCAGGCTGGCAGCCATAACAGTTATCAGATAATCATCTTAAGTTATTTAATGCTACTTTCACTTTACAATAAAGTTTGATTTTAGCTTAATCTACATTTTCATAATACATGATTATTGTGTCAGAGGTTAACTTGTAGAAGCATTCTTATTATTATATTATTTAAAATATTTCATATTCTTGTTGTATAAAAAGTTATAACTGCAATTTCTCATAATATAAAAGATCGGGTTTTTCTATATTTGGATTTGTTCTCAGCTTCTTTTACTCTGAATTTGATGAAATCCCTAATATCATGATTTTCTGAAAGTTTCTTTGTGAACCACACATTTTCTGTAAGTTGATGTTTTTCATTTATAAATGATCAGATTTTTAATCGTGATCCACATTGATGATTAACAGAAATGTGTTTTTGCTTTTGTAGCATTTGTTCCATTGCACACTTATTTTCAGGTTTGCTCTAGAAATCCATTTTGAATTTCCTTCTGATTACACTACATTATTAATGTACACTCACTGGCCACTTTAATGGGCACACCTGTCCAACTGCTCGTTAACACAAGTTCCTAATCAGCCAATCACATGGTGGCAACTCAATGCATTTAGGCATGTTGACTTGGTCAAGACCATCCACTGCAGTTCAAACTTGTTACAACCAAGGTATGCAGAAGAGCATCTCTGAACACACAACACGTACAACCTTGAGGCAGATGGGCTACAGCAGCAGAAGACCACACCGGGTGCCACTCCTGTCAGCTAAGAACATGAAACTGAGGCAACAATTCACACAGGCTCACCTAAATTGGACAATAGAAGATTGGAAAATGTTGTCTGGTCTGATGAGTGTCCACTTCTGCTGCAACTTTTGGATGGTGGGGTCAGAATTTGGCGTCAATAACATGAAAGCATGGATCCATCCTGCCTTGTATCAAAGGATCAGGCTGGTGGTGGTGGTGTAATGGTGTGGGGGACATTTTTTGGCACACTTTGGGCTCCTTATTACTAATTGATCATTGTTGCAACGCCACAGCCTACTCGAGTATTGCTGACCATGTCCATCCCTTCATGACCACAATGTACCCATCTTCTGAAGGCTACTTAAAGCACCATGTCATAAAGCTGGAATCATCTCGGACTGGTTTACTGAACATAACAATGAGATCACTTTACTCAAATGGCCTCTAGTCACCTGATCTCTATCCAATAGAGCATCTTTGGGATGTGGTGGAACAGAAGATTTGCATAATGGATGTGCAGCCGATAAATCTGCAGCAACTGCATGATGCTATCATGTCAATGTGGACCCAAATCTCTGAGGACTATTTCCAGAACTTTGTTGAAGCTATGCCACTAAGGATTAAAGGTAGTTCTGAAGGCAAAGTGGGTCCAACCCGGTACTAACAAGGTATACCTAATAAACTGGCCAGCAATTGTATATTTTAATGACAACATTGTGTTTTACTTTAAATGCTCAGCCTTTGACAAGTAAACGTTTATTATCAGTCTTTAGAAGCTAAAACTCCTGACTAGGTTTGTACCAGATTTGTCTGGAGTGTGCATGTGACCGTGTTTGCAGGTGCACGTGCAGGCCGCCTGGCTGAAGAGACAAATCTTCTGAACAAGGTTTTTGCAACACTGAGGCAACACATGACAGCATTCATTTTGCCCTAATGTTATATTTAGAGCTGCAGGGTTGTAAGTCATGTAGGCTCTGGATTAAACACCATCAGATGTCCTCAAATAGCTCAGACAAAAGATATTCTACACCAGTGCTGAGCAGGACGGTGGCCTCGGTGAACTGCAGAGCACTTTCATGTAAAAATATGGCCGAATATGACTAAAGAATCAGCAGGTTGGAGGCCAGGAGCAGTAAAACGGTTATTCTTTATTTTTTAACACTGAAAGCTACACTGAACGCTGATTTTAGAGGGAACTTCAAGGCAGAAATAAGAAAAAAAGGAAGCATCTAGACTTGCATGCAGGGTGAGCAGGACAGGACTTCCCCTCTCTGTTCAGGTTTTTGTCTCTTACATAACCTGATCTAAATGTCGTTAACAGGAAACAAACACCCTGGGTGAACTCCTTCAACTCAGGGTGGTTTTCTCGAATTAAACAGCCTCAGAGTGAGTGGGAATCAGCTGAGAGCTCCATAGACAGCTTTATCTTTTATCTCCCTGTTTGTCAGCAGGTCTGAATAACGACTTAACAAATTTACCTTTTTTTACCCTTGTCTGATCAAAACTGTAAACTGGGAAGAAAACACGTCTGTGACTTAGAGGTTATTGAACTTGTTTTTGACATTTTAAAGTTCAAGCTGATTTGTTAAATCCTCTTTAAGAATATAAAACAGCTCATGGAGACGTGTTTCCCTCTGATTTCATCTACCTGATAGTATTTATTTAAGTTGTTTCTGTTCCGGTTCTGTCCTCTCTGCACTTGTTTCTTCTGAGTGACCATATAAGAACAAACGCTCTGAACTTTCTTCTGTTTCATGAGGGCCTTGTGCAGACTTGCCCTTGTTTTTGTCCAATCAGGCTCCACCGCCCCACCGCCATGGGCCAATGAGTGGGGAGGAACGGCAGGGGCTTGGTGAGAAGGGCGTATCTGAGGGGCCCAGTTACATGTGGTAAGGAACCATATTTACTCGAGTCCAGCTGTACTTCCAACAATCTCATGAAACACGATCAGCATGATCACTTCAGTCAGGACAGCTGATGTTTACAACCTATGAAGCCAGAAAGTTTAAAAATGATCCAAAATGGAGGTTTTTAGCCAGAACTTTGAAGTGTTTTGGGTTTTTGAGATTTTGTTGTGTGTTTGTACACAAAACTTATCAAGAGCATCAGAGCAGAGTGAACCTTTAGCTGATAGCGGCTGGTCGCAGGCCTCGGTGAACTGCAGTAACCTCGCTGGGTCTGACTGGAGTCGGGACCATCTGTACCAGGAGGCCCTGCTGGGGCTGCGTCTGCCATCTCAATACAAACACGTGGACGCTCCCCATTCCCACAGGGACAACACACACAGGGACACATATGCCTCATGGAAAACATTGGATTTTGATCCTTTAATGTTTAAATAAACCAGTAACTTGCTGTTCTGAGCTTAATCTAATGTGATCTAAAGACTTAAGTCCATTTAAAGCTGCTCCTGCATGTGTGACGGGTACAAATGTAGAATTAATTTTGTGTAGACATCAGGGGCTGACTTTTTCAACAGGATCAGCTGCCCTGCAGCCAAAACCTACATATTAATTATGAAAAGGATAAACTGAAGTAGAGGCTAAAAATTCAGACCCAGGATGCTCTCAGAGCCTTGATGGAGATAGTCTCAGTTATATAACAAGTTCATGTTACGAGCTGAGCTCTGAATGGCTTCTGTCTGCCAATGAAGTCATGACTGACTGTTAAATTCATGAAAACTGAAATTCAGCTATCAGCTTTAGTGCAGATGGACCTGCTGTGGTTGGTTCCCTCTAGTGGATAAAGTCAAGTCAAACCACACCGAAACCTTCTGTCCTGATTCAAATAAAAGCCTGATCCCCTGTGTTCATTACAGATGCTAGAGTTGATATTCACTTCATGACTTGACTCCTCTTTTAAATAAAATATACATTTGTTTTAGTGGCAAACACACAAAAACAAACGGAAGACAAAACCCAAATGCGTGAGCAAGTGAACTAGTGCATATATGATGCTGACTGATTGCAGCACAAAGTACTGCAGTACAAATGACTATAAAGAGTGTATTGCTCTACAGGTGCAGGTTAGAAGGAATAAGAATGACGGTTAGAAAATAGAAATATCAAAATTCCTGTTCACCATGAAATAAATCAACTCTGATGAATAAATGGGGGGAAAAATGTAAAATGTCCTTGTTTGTTTTGTGTTTTGAACACCAGATTGTGTTATGTGACTGTTTTTATCCACCTGTTTCATAACTAACCAGATTACAGCAGAGGTCTCAGAAAGAGAACATACGTGATGTTTTTTACCCACGTTGGGCCAATTAAAATACATCTATCCAAACGTATGTTCATGTAAACTCGAAACAATGTTAAATAAATCATGAATTAGCTGCAAAACATGGTGAATTTTTTTAAACCATGTTATAATAACTATAACTGAATAAATAACATTACCTGGCTGTAAATGTGAGTCACAGCTCATCCTTAAAACAGGGCAGCAGTAACAAAGGCCAACACAGTATTCTCTCAGGAGTGATCATTTTGGTTTAATAATTAGCTGAAGGTATCCACCAGCAGTCAGTCAAACCAAAACAAGAATACAGCGCTCAGGAAAATAAGTTTCAGTGTTTGAATGAACATCTAAGAGGACGTTTGTGTTTTTTCTTTTGCTGAAAGCTAATTTTTGAGTCCAAAAAGGGTCAAAGAACTCAAACTGAGAAGTAGAAATCATGTCATCATAACAAAACCACAACCCTGCTTCTGATTTCTGTTCAGCTTGTTTTTATGAAGAGAAAAACAACTTTTCAGTAGAAGCTGCAGCAAAACAAGACACTGTGCTGAAAAGGGAAGAAATCCTTAAAATAAAGGCTGTAAAAGAACACCTGATGATAAAATGAAACAATGTGGAAACACAAAGAGATAAAATCTATGGAACACAACCATGTTTTAATCTGCTTGATCTCATAAAAGAATTTAAAAAAATCTGTCATGTTCCCTCAGTGGAGCTGAACTATAAGTCTCTCTTTACACCGCTAGTCTCTTAAATATCTTTATGATGTCAAAGCAAAACTTCATTGATTGTCAACACAAAATCTATCTTAGCACCAGTACAATAAAACTGTACTTCAGCTTTTTCTGAAATACTGGTTTTGAACAAGGGTGTTTGTGTGTGTGTGTGTGTGTGTGTGTGTGTGTGTGTGTGTGTGTGTGGTGATCTCAGAATAAAGGGATCCTAGTTAGTACATTTTAGGATGAAGCACCAACCATAGAGAGCATTCTTCTTAGATAAGGTTGTCAGATACACAAGAGGTCAAATATATTAATGACTATTAAATTAAGCACAACAAACAGTGTGAATTAAACACTGCAACACAACACACTCTGGGATCTGAAACAGTTCATGGGGAGGGACGTGGCTGCGCTTTGGATGGTGTCTCGGTGCCTCTGGACTCCAGAGACGTTACAGCTTAGCTCAGAGATATCCACATGATTCTGTAACAGTCGGTGAGGAGTGAAGAACGCAACAGTCTGTCTGGTCCTGTAAACAAACTCAATGTCAAGGTCCAAAATGACTTTTCATCCTGCGAGCAGGGACTGGGACTTCTTAGTTCTGCTCAGAATTACTTAGTGAAATGTGGAAGAAGTGACAAAACTACAGTAAGATATTAAATGTGTTGGATGGTGAATATGTGCCATTATCTCATCACTGCAGGTCTCTAGTTCTCTGAGGTCCAGTGGCCTCCCTGACATGAGCATCGTAGCTTTACCGAGATAAAATCTCAGGTCATCTCCATCGCTGCTTCCTTCAGGAAATAATCATCCACTCATTGCCCCAAGAACATTCTCTCATAGGACCAAATGTTTTTACCCTGATGGCAAGATTCACGTATACACGACCATGTACGTACACAATCAATAAAAAAGTTCCTTATGTATTCAAATATACCTATAGAGGAGAACCTGAAAGCTGCTTCCTGATCACCCTGTGCATGTCTCACGTTTGAGGTCAAAGGTGGAGTGTCAGGTCTTAAGTGTAGCTGGAGTTAATCCCATGACCCTCATTACGTCGGACGGAGAAGATGACAGACCTCAGGCTGAACCATGGAGGGAAAGAGTGAGCAAGAGGCTACCGGCTGCGGGACTTCCCTGTGGGTGTCCGTTTCTCTTCCTCTTCCTCTTCATCGTCTTCTAGGATGTGAATCGTGGAGCCCAGTAGTCTCTGGAGCTCTGGTACACAACCAACAAGTTCCACAAGTCCCTCTTCTTCTTCCTCCTCCTCCTCTTCCTCTTCATTTTTGCCTCTCCGTGGAGAAGCTGACGCAGAGTTCACCTGGCTGAGTGAAACCTGCTTCCAGAGCTCAGCAGGAGACAGACTCACCACCTCAAACTGTGGATAACGAGCCCGGAAGATCCGCGCCGACATCTTCAGACGCTTCAGCACGTCTGACAAGAGGAACCAGTTACAGAATCTGCAACAGACAAAAGCCACACTTTACTACAAATAAAGTACAGAACATGAAGTAAACAACAACAACAACAACGAAAAAGCTATTTTAGGATTTAAACTGTTTAAACTGGATAAAAACAGGAAAATAAAGCACTCAGATGAAGAGGAAGAGGAAAGCCTTCATGCATGTTCTGTTCAGCTCTGGTAACTCACCCTTGTGTTAACGACACCTGAACATGGTAACAGGGTAAAAGTGGCTCGGAGGAGAACTCAAACAGAAGGCTGTCTTTGTCCAAGTCCTGCCCAGTCTTCCCCGTGTTGTCCTCATCCAGCTCCTGGTTCTCCTTAGACAGCAGGAAGTCCCAGCATGCCTCCTGCTCCGTCTCTGAGGAACGGAGGAAGCTGAGGTCAGTGGAATGACAGCAGACACACTCACAGCCTAAAACACACTCTAGTGGCCGGTTTACTCACAAACTTCAAACTGAGATTAAACATGCTCATTTGTGCGGTTGCAAAAGTGTCTGACCAACAAAATTACAACTTCACACAAAACTAAAACTCACACAGCTGCATCCTGTACTGTACTAACACACACTGCCTGACCTAAACAAAAGTTCACACACACTAACATTTCGTTGGACCACTTTTAGCTTTGATTAAGGCACGCATTCACTGTGGCATTGTTTTGATGATCTTCTGCAATGTCACCAGATTTATTTCCATCTAGTGTTAAATTAATGTTTCAACAAGATCTTGCATTGATGATGGTGGAGTCTGACCGCGGCACAAAGCCTTCTCCAGCACATTATTAAACATAGCCCTGAGTTCTACTGTTGTTTTTGTTTTATTTGATGTCACCAAACTTTTAAATCATGGAGGATCATGATCATTCAGGATTTTTTTCAGCCACGTTTCTTCCTCAAACACAACTGGACATTTCTTAATACAACTTAATACAACTTTAGTCGTTTCTGCTATCTCCTTACATGTGTTGTCTGCTTGATGCATGCCAACGATCTGACCCTATATTTAACATCTTTTCCACGACCACCAGATGTGTCTTTCCACATGGTTGTTTATGAAACAAGAACAAACTCATTGCAACAGTTGGGGATAAATAACTTGTTACCAGCTGAGAGATCATCACCCATGCAGTAATTATCCAATAGGAGGCGTGTACGTATTTGCTTAGTTAAATCCAGGAGGTAACTTTGTTGTTGACCAGGCAGTGTATGTGACTGTTAGTTTTAGTTCTTACATCACTTGAAGGGAAAATACAGGTGAAACTGCAAAACTTGGAATATGGTGCAAAAGTCCTTTTGTTTCAATAATTCATCTTAGACTGAAAGACCATCTAAAGCAGGGCTATTCAATTCTGGGCCTTGAGGGCTGGTATCTAGCATGTTTTATTTTTAACATGACTGATTTCAGTCAGCAGGTGATTAACAGGCTTCTGCAGAGCCTGATGTGCTGCTGCACAGGGGATTCAACCACTGAATCTAGTGCGTTGGAGCAGGGAAACCACTAAAATGTGCTGGATACCAGCACTCGAGGCCTTGAATTGAATAGCCCTAATCTAAAAGCTCAGTAACCCTTTGCAGGTGTTCAGGATTCATTAGTTGATTAGAGTGTAACACTTAGAGTCTAGAATATTGAACCTTTCACAATGTTTTAGTTGTCTGAGATTTTGAATGTGGGGTTTTCATCAGCTGTAATCATCACAATTATAACAAATAAAGGCTGAAATAGCTGGCTTTGCATGGAGTGAGTCCATCTCATTTATTAGTTTCAACTTTTAAGTTGAATTACTGAAATATATGAACCTTTACACCATATTCTAATTTTTCCAGGTTCACGTGTAATCCTTTAGGACGTTTGTTTCTCTTTTTCTCCAGTTTTGCTGTCATTTTGGAGATCATCTCAAGTCCCAAAACTTAGTGACACACAAAGGGGCCGCGAGCCCAAGTTAGGAACAACTGGTTTAAAAGCAACAAACTACATGCAGAAATATTTATGAGAAGCCAAATATTTTTGTGATGATTGGCTGGTTTTATGAACTCTGGCAACATTTAAAGAGTTCAAGGAGAAACTATCTTTTTCAGAATGAATATTTAAATACGACCAGAACAATCACTTGATAAATAAGCTTTTGACCTCTTTATCATATAAGATTCCCTTGTTGAACAGCCTCTAATAAATTATTATTGGTTTAGTATTTGTTGCTAACTTCATTCTAAAAATATCAGTCCACTTTCTACCTCCTGCCAACACCTATAACCCTGTCCTCTCTCTGCAGGGCGACTGGCTCCTTGTGGCTGTTTACTACACAGAACGGATGTTAAATCTCAAAGCTTAGAGAGCCTCCCCGTCTCAGTGGCCAGACATGAGCCCTGCAACAAGCCTTAATGTGTCTGCCTCAAGGACAGCAGAGGAATGAGGGTTCAGCCACTTTCCCCTCTCGCCACTACTAGAAATGAAAATGCAATTTTAATTTGATCTACGAGAAGAAAAATTGCAGAATCCAGCAGAGGGGTGGGGTTCTTACCAAACAAAGAGCTGCTGTAGAAATCCCAGGGTAAAGCAGGATCTGGTTCACTTCGGCCTTCCAGGTCTGTAAAATATTCTGGAAATGAAAGATTTCATGTCATGTTTTCATGGCTGCGAAGGGTTGCAGGTTAGAATCATTGAGGACAGGATTTAATAATAAATGTAATTTTCTTCTGAAGAACAGGAAACCTTATGAATAAACAAATGAATGATGAATAAAGACAACTTTTACAATGGCGAGGACAACAGCATCCCTTTAAAGAGGTGTGTGATAAATAAGAACCTTTCCCAACAAGCAGCAGAGTTTGTTCAGCCGTTGTTGAAGGTTCTGATGTGAACCGTTTAGTTTTGTGCCTCGTGAATATGAGTTGAGAAAATTTAGCAGTGAAAGAAATGGATTTATAAATGATTTGGATCCCAACCTGGGTTTAAGTCCCATCACCTTCACCTGGACCATCAAAACACACCCAACAGCACAGCTGTCTACAGGACAGGTGTGTAAAAGATCCCATCTAGATTCTAGATATAAGTTATAGGTTAAAGGTGGTGAAATAATAATTTATTAGCTTTCAGAGTGTAATAACTTTCTATATTTCTAATAAAAAGTCTTTGTAATTCTGGCATTATTTTATCTCGGGAGCATCAGCCTGAAACTCCTGAGATGAACAAACAAGACAGCTTGGTTTTGTTGTTTTAGATAGAACATATTACTCATCAATCATAAATCACCTCATCAGTAACACATTTGCTGGGCCAATTCAGTTCCTTCTTCAGCTTTTAGCTGGTGGAAAACCAAACAGCGGTTACCGTCAGACTCTGAAGGGACGAATACAGATTTAGCAGCGTAGTCCTCACACATGCTTTTCATTGTTCCCTGTTCCAAATGAGACGTGAGCCACGGTTTACTAATGTGTTGACGCGCTGCTTGATGGGGGTCGCACGGTTGGCAAATGTATGTTTACCGTAAATCCTCTAATACAGGCCCAGGTCTGTATTTGACTCAAGCTCCAGGCCTTTATTGGAAGGAGGACCAGAATTAGAGGCAGGCCTCAATTTCTATTTGAGCAAAATGAACTAATGGTTCGCTGGAGTTTTTGACAATTAAAATTGCGCCCACATTTTCAAAGTTAAACACATCTCTTTTAACAACGGTAGTTTCTGCTTCAGCCCTCTCCCCCCTCCCCCTGCGCAGCGGCCGCAAACTCACTGATGCACCTGCAGCTTCTCGGAGTTCCTGCTGCTCTAAACATTAAAATAATTATTTCATTTTCTGTTCCTCACTTCTGATGACCTTCAATGGTGTCTGTTTGTTGCAAACACCAGGTACAAAAACTAACTTGTTTTTATTTGACTATTTTTCTGTCCTGTCTGTTTATTATCTTCCTGCATCTCCTCTCAATCCTAAAGAAAAACTTCTACCTGGCTTCATATATATTCACCTTATGAGTTACCTTTGAACTGCAGTTCTAAAAGATCTACCGACCGCAAAAACAGCGGAGTGCTCACCGGCCACATCAGTTAGGTGCATCACCGAGGACAAAACAGGTGATGCGCCCCGATCCACAGCAGCGAAAAGCATCAGGCACAAATAAAAGACAGAACACATAAAAGGAAATGAGCCGACATGAACGATCGCGTGTTAAATTAGTTTTTGAGGTGGCGACACCTGATTTGATAATGTTACTGTGGCCGTGCTCAGGACGCAGATGTCTGGAGCGCGTCAACAATCAGAGCTTTGCATGCGCAAGCTGGTTAAGGTTAGGATGGGGGTGAGGGGAAGGTTAAATTGCAAGAGGGAAAAGGTCACAATTTGGTCAAATGTCCGTTTTACGGCGGGTGTCGGTACCGACGCTCTGGCACAGCGCGTTGCCTCCCGACGCGCAGGAGCTCGTCACCTGCTGACAGCAGGCTGCTGTCTTTTCCGTGGACTGCATCTTGCCGGTCATTATCACGTGACAGCGACTAGTCGATGACAGGCATAAAAAGTCACTATAGAGCGGTGAAGTCGACTAGTGACTAGTTCATACAACCCCTGCTACAGCCGAGTGTTCTGCAGCATAATCAGCACGTTTTCTTTGAACTTGATATCAAATTTTCGCCTCCTCTTCGTCTCTGCATGGTTAAAGTTACCCTCGCGGTCTATAACTGGCAAATCAAAAGTGAGACGGATGACACAACCGCGCCCCGTACTTGCTTGTTACCACATTCCACCCGGCCACAATAAAAAACCGGCCATTATTCACCTCCGCCGACTCCGACACCGGCCAAAATATGATAACCGGCAGTTAATTGAATACAGGCTAATATTAGAGAATTTACAGTATTTATTTTATGCCTCCTTTCAACTAGCTTGATGAAAGCGCTTAGGCTGTGTCATTTATTATGACTAAAGTGCTGATGATGTAGAGATGCCATCAAGTGTTGGTGCCGTTTGTCCAGGAAACGGAACAGAAGCAGGAAGTACCTGTGAGGAAGGTCTTCATGCTCGGGCTGTGAGCTAGTTTGATGGGTGTGTGTCCCGAGTAAGTGGCCAGTGTTGGATCAGCGCCGTGATTTAGAAGCAGCCAGACGATCGGCAAGTTATCGCTCGCTACTGCATCATGAAGGGGCCTGAGGATGGAAGAAACATAAGATTGCATAAGAAATCACATAACTGACATTAATAAATCACTGAAAGATCGTCTGGTTCTATGATGACATGCAAGTAGAACTGACAGCAGCTTTTTATCATAGATACCTCAAAGGAGCTTCCAGGAATAAGGATTAGGAAGCTGCAGCCACATGACGAGTCATTTAAACCAACTCAAATCATCATTGTACTTCATAAATCCTCACCGTGTTCCATCCTGAGCACTGCAGTTGACATCTGCACCATGTTTAAGAAGCATCTGGACAATATGAGTCCATCCTCGTGAGGATGCCTCATGAAGAGCTGTGTAACCTGCGTTATCGCGCCGATTGACCTCCCTGATGTCCTTTTCTAGACAGTACTGCACCACATCCTGCAGACGGGACAGACGGACTTGTGTGTTACAGGATTACTTTATCTTCTGCTAGTACAAGCAGCCAGGTGGCAGTTTACCTGATAGCCTAAGCGGGCAGCTCGTTGGAGCAAAGTCTCTCCAGCGTTTTTATTGACTATCAGCCGACGAACCTCAGGAGGAACAGGTTTTTTTGGTGGCGAGTCTGTACCACTGCTTCTCCCTGATGAGCTTTTCTTGTTGGATGGAGATGATGGTAAACTTTTTGAGGATGGAGGTGGGGTATTCTGGGTTTTCACATCAACAGCTTCATCATCCAGATGGAGGGAGGCACCGCGCTTTCCCAAACCGCTGCGTTTGGTCTTGTTCTGGAAAAATAAAAAAAAGTTAGTGACAACATCACTCTGTGAAAGTGAATCAACACTAAAATAATCCAATCCAATATTTTAAAGAATCTGGGCTTTACCCACCCCCCACCCCCTGCTCTCATATGTGACAAACAGATTTCCATTAGGCCACAGGGAGGCACTATAATCTCATATTTATAGAACCACACCATGAAACAGGAAGCTGCACCAGAAGCCCACCTTCGGTTCATCACTGTCAAATAGGTGTTTGCTTTTGAACTTCCTCTTCCCTGAAGGCTTATCGTTGCATTCAAGTGACTCATCACTCTCCTGGTAGCGGACTGATCCTGAGCGGGTGAGTGAGGATTTTGGTGGAGGAGGTTCTGGACTGGGAGCAGCTGGACTCTCATCACACTCATCTGACAGTGGATCTGTAAAAACAAATAAAGGTCAAAGTAATAAGTGATGTGCATCTTTAAACGCATCTAAACGTCTCATTTAGCAGAGCTTTTAGAAATGCAGCTTTTTTCACTCTGACAAAAAAAAAATTTTTTTTCAACAAACAAAATTTTCACCCACCACTTAAACCTCCAATGTGATACTTTTACATCTATTAACATTTTCTGAGATTAACACCTAAATGTGATCATAACACTGCTGCTGCTGCTTTTGGGAATTCATGTTTATGTCTGTTCAGACTTTTGCTTTTTTTTTTAATTAACTGTTTAAGTAACAATTAATTATTAAAGCAGAATGATTCAGTTTTATCTATGCGTTTGATCACATGATCTGATTAAAGGACTGGTATTGTTTTGAATAATTACAATTTAGATCATCTATTTAAAATAGGTTTTATTATCATCATAGATAAAAATCTGCAACAAATAAAGTAATCATACCACTAGGTGACCAAACCAATCTCCAGTCAACGTGACTCTCTTTAGAGCACCAACCCGAAGCTGAAAGCTACCACATGGGTCCTGAGCCACACAAAGGGCTGCCAGGTTGATACAATACTGACCTTTGAACTGGAATAGATCAGAATTAAACCAAATGTCATAATAAACATAATTTATTGTTTTTGAGGAATATTGTAGTTTTTTAAAACCTATATTAATGCATATGTGATTCAAAAGATGGCAGCAGGTTATTTATTTGTTTATTGCAGATGTGTTTTTAGAGAAAAGGCCTGTGGGCATCTTATATCGTTTCTGGGAGCACCACAGTGCCTGCGGGTACCAGGTTGTTGACCCCTGCTTTAGAGTCTATTGTCAGAAGAGAAGAGTAAAAACAGACCTGATGGAATTTGGGCATCCCTTCTCAAGGAGTCTTCAAGGTGCTCTCCCTCTTCCAGCTTGTCCTTATCTGTGATGTAATCTCCGGTCTCGTACTTCTTATTTGAACATCTCATCCGTTTTTTGTGAGGAGGCGTGTCAGCCTCAGCGTTGGCGGCTTTACTCTTGCCCTGCAACATGCGCCCCGGTAGGATGTTTGATCGAGGCCTCCCTCTTGGACGGCGGACTGGCTGGCTGGGAGTCAGGGGGGGTGGTGGAGAAACTGCAGAGGGAGGCATAGGTGGTGGTGGAGGAGAAGGGGTTGCAAAACCCCAGAGGTCAAGTCGAGCATCATCGGCTCTCCGCCGTCCTCTCCTCAGCCTTTGATAAGAGGACTCTGGTGTGTCTGCTTCCTTGCTGGACATGACAGACTCACTGAGACACGCTGAAGTCTCTTCTCTCTGAGGACTGCTGCTGCGCTCTGTGACTAATAAAATAAGATATGATTGGTATGTTCATGCTAGTTTTATGTTATAATTTATCAAGAATCACTGAAAAATAAAAAAGCACCAATAAAATGTATAGGAGTTGCTGCCTGCACACACTTATAAAACATGACTGGAGGCTATTTGTATCTGTAACAAAAACATGAGCGCTGAGAAATCCCGCTGTAAGCTCAGTACAGGACTAAAGGTGCTCAGGAAAGAGCTTCGTGAAAGTTGTGATAGATCTCACAGATTGTGCATACTGGGTGTGTTGTCAGGGCTGAAAAAGTCATAACATTACTAAAGAGACTCATACCTGCTCTGTTGTTAGCTGGTTGTTCAGCCTCGCTAGGACCGATCTTGTCCTTTGAAATGGGCTCTTTGCTCGGTGGGGAAAGTTTTCCTGCTGACAGACTCTGCTCCAACACAGGTGCAGACACTTTCTTCTGCTGAAATACATAGGAGATGGAGTGAGATCACACAAAGTCGCATGGTAATGAAAATCAGGTGTCAAGACTCACAATAAGTAATTAGATAATCCATTATAGGAGCTTGGAATAACCAAATGTAATGGAAAAATTGAGAAAGATTACATTTGTTCACTGAATTTTAGACCCAAATGAATCATTTACCTTCTTGTTGGCAGACACGTTTACAAGAGTACTTTCGGTGTCTTGCTTTTTCGTCCCAGTGGGCCTTTTTAATGGGTCTGATGGTGACTTCTCCGCTGGCTTTTTAGGACTAGTCTTCTTTTGTTTGTTAGCAGCAGCTTTTGCTTTGGTTGGCGACTCCTCTTTGGTTCTGTTTGTCTTTTTCTCAGATGTGTCACCCTTGTCTACAAAATGGCCTGTTAGAATGGATGCAACCATGCCCTCCAGTTTTTCACTGGTAGGAATATCTGATGTCCCACTTTCTTTCTTCAATACCTCCCCCTCTAACACCTGGGCTAATTTGCTTTCCATCCTGTTCCCATTTGTTGATGCATTGCCCCTGATAAATCGAGACTGGCCAGTTGGCTTTGAGGAACCTTGCTTAGTCTGCAGCCCCACGTGCTCTTCTTGACTGTTGTGCAGGCCAGTGTTATTCTCTAAAGTTTCAGCAACATTCACCCTCTCGTGTTTTGTGGTAGCTTGGTTCAGATCCCCTTGAGATAGTGCAGCTTTTTCCACAGGCCAGTAAGCTGGACGCTCAAAGGAGAGTTTGGATTGGATGTCTTGGCTCCCACTTAGTGGGTTCAAAACATCGATTTTTAACACACCAGGTGAGCCTTGAGTGTTAGCCTCACCTGAGAGAGGTGTTTTAGTAGCTTGCTGCTGTACAATACACGCAAGGGTAGACAGAGGAGACTTTATTCCGTCCCACCTGTTATCCTCAGGTTTGGATGGACTGTTATGAGTGCCTCGAAACTTGCACCCCTCTGCGGCTGTGGTGCTCTTGTTCTTTGGAGACATTTGTGTGACTTTTCTCTGAATGGGTGTGGATGGTTGGGAGAGGTGAGATGTCTGCTGCCAGGCTGCACCAACAACAGCCGTGGAAAAGGGTGCTGCTGTTTGGTTGGGTCCAGATTTCTGATGACTCTGAGCATTGCCAGAGCTTAACGGGGGTGTTGCCATCTCTGCATTAGGGTGGCAGTTCTTACCTATGGCTGTGCTGGTGTTTTTCACATGCTTGCCACTGTGAGCATGTTGATTACCCTTCATCTGAGAAGATGGCTTCTTTCCAGCCGAGGCCAGATGTTCTCCTTGGTCAATAATAGATATAAATTCTTGCTTTGCAAAATTCTGGAATTCATCTGCAAAGGTCCCCTTTCCATCTTTGCCCCTTAGAGTAGAGGCCAGTATGGGGCTAGCCACACCTACATATGTACCTGGGATGCTTTTAATAGAGTCTTGCGAAGACCCCTTTCCCCATGTTGGCTTGAGTTCTGAAACCTGATTTGGAGTCCTGTTTAACTGCTTTTGATGAGATCCATTCCGATGGGAGTTTGGTAAGATAGGATACTGAATGTCTGAGCTGTAAGTTGCAGAATCAGTTCTCTTTGCATTCAAAACATCTGTCTGATTAGACTCATTATTATGAGGCTCCATCATAGAAACAGGAACATCATTTAAGCATTTTGGACGTTTGGACTTAGCGGACAAATCAAGAGGGACATCTCTGGGTTCAGCTGAACAAACAGTGTGGTCCTCAGCAGAAGAAAGAGGTGTTGTGGTGAGCAAACCCATGGATTTCTTATCTATGCTGTTAGCCTTTTCCACATGGTTCAGCAGCCTGTTCTGAGAGGTGATGCTGGCCAGTGCAGAGCCACAGCAAATGGCTGCAGTGGGAGACAAGGTGTAGTGGGTGGGCGCTGCTGAAGTTAATGATGGATGCTGCAATGGTAGTGTAATAGCTGGTGAGGGTACAACAGAGGCTAAAGACTTGTGTTCCCTAAGAGGTTTGGCATTCTTGCTTGATGAGTGGTTAGATTTGAGCTTTACGGTTGATCCACCAGCCTTTTTGTCCAGGGTCCGGCTCACAGACAACGAAAAGGGATAGGTCCGCATGAGCGATGTCCCTCCAACACCTGAGCTTTGAGGTTGAATTTCTTTTTGAAACTGATTGCCTGTGGCATCTCTCAAAGCAGCAATTTGACCTAATGCTGGTGGAAGAGTAATTTTACAAAGCTGTGGAGAAAAATTTGTGGAGGGAAGAAAGGCAACGCGCTGGGCTGGTTTAAACATAGAAGAGCATTGGAACCCTGGAGGAACACTTTGCAGAGACTGTGTTTGTGGATGTGACTTCTTTAAGGGCGCCACGTTACTGTGACAAGGGTTGAGAGCATCCTCTCGGCTGGTTTTCACACCGCTGGACCATTGAGGAGTGGGGAAGACCCCGACACCATCAGCTCTGACTTTTGGGGTTTCTGCCCTTTTGTCTGTTCTCTTTTCTGAGCTGGTGAGGACTGAGCTGGACATTGGTGCATTATTAGGCTGGGACAGAGAAAGGTCAGGGCTGTGGTTGCAGTTGCCAGCGTCAAGACAAGCTTTGAGTGTTTTACGGTCTTTTGTTGGAGTTGTTTTGTTTTGCTGATTGAGGTTCACATCTCCTCTAAATTCAGGGGGTAGTGTCAGGGGGGGATTTCCCACCATACTAGTAGATTTTTTATGCGTAGCACTATTCTCTCTGCTCACAGTGCCTCCATCTCCTACATTCATTAGTGTAGAATCCACCTGAGAAATGAGAGAGGTTAATGAGGACAGTGTTAAGTGGATAAGAGGACAAAATGCTCTAATCAAGTAATCTAACTCCAACACAAAGAAAAACAATTACCTGCATAGGTGTTTCTTTAGCAAAACATGCCTCAGATGTACGCTGGGGCAGTCAGGCAATTTCCTCTCAAGTAGTGACAGGCTGCAAAACACATGAGATAAAAAACTGTTAAAACACAGCTAATGTGTTGCTCTTTCTAAGGGACATAAAAGATCACATTCAAGCTTTCACACCATAAGAAGCACTGTATGTAACAGTCATGGTCTTAAAGTGACAGTGTGTATTTTCCACGTAGAGGCAAATGTGTAAGACAACAACACTTATGAATAGTGAAAGTTTGCATCCACTTTTCCAAATCAGTAAATGTGTTTTGCCTTCACAGGCTCACGTAGAAGGAAATGTTGCTTCTAATAAAGCACACTGAATTGCCTCGGTGTATGAAATGTGTTATATAAATGAGGATGCCTTGCCTAATACGGCGTTGCCCAGAGACTTAGATCTGCACTGATATATTTTAGACTTGATTTTTATGATTATACGTTATGAGGCTGCAAATATTTTGTAACAACTGGGCATCATTTAATTCATTTTCAACAATATTTTTCTGGATATGTATGATAAAAACTACACATTGTAACTTTAACGTAACATTTGAAAAATAGAAACTTCCTGTCTATCAGACATGTTACAATTTCCTGACAGCACTGAATAGCAGGGAGAGGTGTTGTAAAATGATGCCCTGTTGACATTTGGCACTAAAGAGACAAAATGCAGTCACAAGTGGATAGGACTGAATTCAAGAGTGAACGCTTTACACCAAACATGGATTCAGATCCAATCACACAGGATTAAGAGGTGGCGATTTAATCCTCAAACATTTAAACTGATAATTAAATGTATTGCTTACAAAATGAAGGGCCACTTACTGCCTGGATGTTGATTCAAACAAGCAGTTTTTTAAATAATCTGTCAAAATAAGGCATAGCTGTAATCTTAGCTTTCCAACTGTAGAGTGGGATGCAAAAGTTTGGGCAGCCTTGTTAACCTTCATGATTTTTCTGTACAAATCATAGGTTAAGAGAAAATTTTCTGTTAAATATATCAAATAGGAGACACAAACAGTGATATCTGAAAAATGAAACAAAGTTTCTAGGATTTACATAAAGTGTGCAATCATTGTTTAAACAAAATTAGGCAGGTGCATACATTTGGGCACTGTTGTCATTTTATTGATCCCAAAACCTTTACAACTAATTATTGGAACTAAAAAATTGGTTTGGTAAGCTCAGTGACCCTTGACTTTGATTCACACTACAAGTTGCCCACCAAGAAATACTTCCGTAAAGTTGCCTTGCCTGCTTTATATGAAGAGCTCCGTGCTGGTGTGTCAAATGCATTATCTTTGGTGGCGCTTTTTGCATCCACCACGGACATGTGGTCAAGCCAAACATCTGAGTTTTTTTTCCTCCAAGGACCATATTGGGGAAAATATAGGCAATAAAGCCAGATTAAGCATTTCTTGCATTAGTTTAAATGATAGTAATAATACTGTTTTGTGTTGTTACTTTTTAGCTGTCTTTAAAAATGAACATGTAGGCTGGATGTGAAATGTTAATATTTTACTTATTTATTTGGCACACAAGTTCTCAAATTTTGATGTAGTTTTGATGCACATAAAGAGCTACTTATGTCAAAATAAATTGATGGGGTTTTGTGCCGATAAAGTTGTGGATTTGTAAAGTACTTTGTCTCGCGTCAATCTTATAGTCAGTTATATCGTTATCGCGAATTTTCAAATATATACCGTGATAAATATTTTTGGCCATATTGTCCTGCCCTAATGCTAATGTTGGCTTCTAGCTAAGACATTCTCTGCTGTTTCCTGGACGCTAAACCAACAAGAGCCTTCCCTGTCGTGAGTCAAGATGGGGAGGTCCATAAGTGGCGGTTCATCCATACGGGGTATATATGTTGTGTGTGTGTGTGTGTGTATTTGTGTGCTCTGTCTTCTCGATCCCCAGCGAGTCATGGTGGATGGCTGCTTATACTGAGCCAGAACCTCCTCTGGAGGATTCTTCATGTTAAAAGGAAGTTTTCCTCTCCACTGTCGCTACATGCTTGTTTAGTATGAGGATTGCTGTGAAGACTCTGACACTAGTCAGTGACTCGATACAATCTGCTGGGTTTCTGTAGGAAACTTTTTACCGATTGGCTTAATGAACTGATCTGTATTTACTTTGTGAAGTGCCTTGAGACGACTCTTGTCGTGATTTGGCGCTATATAAATAAACTTGAATTGAATTATTACGACCATAAACCAGCAAAGGTAAGACTGAATTTATGCTTTCGACTTCATGAAATTAGCTTTGTTTTGCTTTTCATTTAGTGCAGGGGTGCCCAATCCTGGTCCTTGAGGGCCAGTATCCAGCAAGTTTTAGCTTTAACCATGTTTAAACACACCTGATTTCAATCAGCAGGTGATTAACAGGCTTATGCAGAGCCTGATAAGTTGCTGCACAAGTGATTCAACCACTGAATTAAGCATGTTGAAGAGGAGAAACCACTAAAAGGTGCAGGATTCCGGCCCTTCAGGAGGATTGGGTACCCTGATTTAGCGTCTTATTGTCATTGGATATTGAGGTAGATACATGGATATATAAGTATGTGTTCAGTTTCCATATATTGGTGAATATTAAGCATATTTTTGAAACAACTTTGCTGCCAGAAATGCTTTTGGACCTGGTACCGGTCTGTCAGGTTCAAGATTTGACATGCAAAAGAATGGAAATTTGGCATCCCCTAGTAGTGATATGCAGTTAACGCATCTGAAAATTGTGCTCAACCCCAAAAAATAAATAACCAGCCACCACTGTAGTCAATGAATGTTAAGTGACAGGGAAGTAGATCTGTCAGGCTTTATAAATCCTGGAGTTCACTGTTTAGGTCCTATTAGAAGCTAATGCAGGAGATAGGTGTAGGAGACTAATATCATGTTCAGCCTGCATGAGAAACTCAGAGTGACAGAATATAATTAGAAATAATCATAAAAAAATTGGTTTTCCTTTAAGGTAAATATTGAAATGTGGCTAATCCAGACAAGTGTTTTTTAATGGCAAGGCCGATGTGGATTTTTGTTTTATATAACACATGCTATAGGCTTTATGGCAGTGCAGTTGGCCGCACTGTTGCCATGGAACAATAAGGTCACAGGTTCAAATCCCGGCTGTGCATGGTTTTTCTACATGGAGTTAGCATGTGTAGTTTACTCTGGGCACTCTAGTTTCCTCCCACAGGCCATAAAAATGCATGTTAGGTTAACTGGTGACTTTAGACTGTCCTTAGGTGAGTGAGTGACTGGTTGTTTGCCATTGTGGAGGACTGACGACCTGTCCAGGGTGTCCCCCACCTCTAGCAAGAAGAATGCTGAGGTTGGACACAAGCTCTCAGTGACCATAGAGAAAGCAGTGCAGAAATACAACACCACATTTCTAATGTATAACAAAATAACACCAAACTGTTAAAACTGCTGTAATAATATCAGAAAACATTTGCTTTTAAAATGAAAACAGTTTGTCCTCAGTTCCTATTAACTACAACATGTTCATGAAGTTGATGCAGCACAGTGACAAACTGGTCCTGCTTCTAACTTATATGAAACATGATACTGGCAACAAACTCAACTTGATTATTTTTTCAGTTTCAATGTTTCTTATGTTGTTTGTGATCACTTTTGTAAGAATCAAACGATTTAAAACTCATTGTATTTTGTGCTTCTTTGCCTCGTCGCACAGCTCCTTGGCTTTAATAAGACTTTGCTTGTTGAGTACAAATATTTCAGAGTTTGTACAATAAAGAATAAAATATGTAAAAGAATTGGTTTGCTTCTTCTATTCAAATACGTTTACAGTCACCTAACCACATTTTATCTGTAAGTGTTACAATTGTAAAAAAAGAACAAAAATATATAAATATTAGCAATCACTGTTGTGAACAGTGAAAGAGAGAATAAAAGCAAACATCTGAGCACCTACAGTATTTTCACCAACAGCTGAGAGACACTTATCAGTCACTCCAAACAGAAGCTTGTGTTAAAGTGGCCCCTGACCTCTTGGACCCCAGGGCCCATCCCCTCTCTGGACTCATTAATCCATACACGAGGCAATCAGCAGCTCATTAAATATCGTGCAAATGATACAAAGGACAAAAGAGATTTATGTTTATAAAACTGAGACTGAGGACTGACTAGTTGGTAGGTTAAATTGTTTAAGTTAGATGCTCATCAGTTTCTTCTAAAAGTGGACATTCGAACTTACACTGGACATGTTTACCACCAAACCCCACCTTGTGTACAACCAATAATCAAACAGGTAATCATAAAGCTTTAGTCATCCCAAACACCTGAGACACCGTGGTGCTCCAAAGACCGAATAGACCCTGCAAGCAGGCTCTGGTAAACCAAATACAAAACGATAAATAACTAGAGAAATACAGCTTTGTAGAAATGGGAACGTTTCACCTTTGAGTCATCGAGATTTAACTAACGATGATGCACATAATGACTGACAAGCCAAATTGTTGTGATCTACGAACACCGAAGGGGGAAGCAGCGATGCAGATGCCGCCGTTGAAGGAGGGTCTCTGCATACATTACCGTACAACAGTTGCTTACAGCTACTTTGTCTTTGTGCTCCGATCGCTGTCTGCTCCACAACATTTCAATTCATCCGCTGTGATGTAGGCCAGCAGATGCACGGAGCGGTCCGCGCACACGCCGTGGGCAGCTCAGCCCAGACGGAAACAAAAAGTCCAGTCTGGAAATACCTTCGAGAAAACCAGCCTAGGAGACACCACATTATTCTGCTGTAGCCCACTTCCACCCGGTCAGCTCGCTGTCCTGCCCACGACACAAAAAACAAGCACCCGCTTGTCACAATGTCACAGCTGAAAAGTGCACAATAAAGCCCGCATCGCACCCTGGGAAACAAAACGTTTCCCTCTGTTGTGAATATCAGCACGGACAAACTCCGGAGAGCTCCGGCTTGCTCCCCCCCTCTCTCTCTCGCTGGAGATGGCGAGCATAGAGAATGGCATCTGGCTCTCAGGTGATCGGTCCATTAACACCGACCCGCAGCCACCGTCCATGGGAGAAGGCTGGATGTGTTAAAGCAGAAGTGATGGGGGCGATTCCTCCCATCGAGAGATTGCTTCAACACAAAATGTGTTACATGTCCGCCTGATAATGTAAGTCAACATCAACGCAAAGTCAGAACGGACAAGAAAGGAGAACCAAAGTCGCAGTTGGGATTGTTTCGTCAGCCAACGAACAGCTGAGAAAGTAACACATGTCAGCGGACGTTCTCACAAAACAAATGATCAATCCCACTCGCTGATAACACGCTGGGTAGGAAAAGTCATCGACGAGAGAGGGGACACAACTTATTCCACAGCCTCGTGCCCCAAGAGGGACCGCGATAAGACAGGCAGCAATGTGCGAACAGTCCGAACTCCACTGACCAGTTCTACCTCCTGAGCGGGTCCGGTGTCCCTGCGCAGCGGTGTCTCCGGAGAACCGAGCCGGTGGTTTACATGCTGAGGCGGGCTGTTGTTATTTATCCCCGGCCGCACTAATGTGAAGTGTTCCCGTCTCTCTTATCGGCCCGTTTTAGTGGACTGACTGAAGCACTTCGGCGTTGAAAGGCATTCAGCGAGCCCCAGACCCACCGAGCCTCTCCTCCCCGGGCCCCCTACACTCTCTATCGGAAACACTGAATGGTTCCCGTGCTAATCAGCGGGCGAGGAGAACGATGTCTAATGACACAAACAGTTACGAACCCGCTCGTCCAGATGGCAAGTGTACGACGTTACAGGCACGACAGTGGTACGGCCGTGTCCAGCGTTCCGCCTCTGCCGTCCGTAGCTGCTCACTAATCTCGACGGTTTTCGGCTCTGAAAGTCCGGGGGGGGGGCGGGAGCGGGAGGAAGGGAGGAGAAGGAGGGGAGGGCACAAGAGGAGGGGGTGGTCGCCAAGACAGTCCGTTCCGTATCTCCAGCTTCCAGTCTGGTGGGAGCGAGCGGAGGGAGAGGGGCAGTTGGGTGCAAGGAGACACCATGGGAGATGTAGTGCTCGGATATCCACGCCCAGCATTAGATGCCGGAGAGGATGGGAGGGGTGAGAACTGCAGGTACCGGCATGCAACGCGAACTCCAGCCGCTCAGGGGAATGGGGGATCAAGACCAGAGAACGGTGCGCTAAACCTGAAAAGGCTTATCGGAGCAACAAAGTCGTGAACTGTATGTTTTTTAAATAAACAAAGTGAGCTCTGTCACCAGATGGCTATGCGTGCGAGTCAGTGTCAGTCGGATCAATTAACAGTGAGCTATGGGTGAGTTACTGAACAGGGTTGGCCCAAAATATGAAACACAAAGTGGCAGGGGCTTGGGTCTGCTGCTGAGGACCAAAAATGAGGAAGCAGGTCTCTGGGTGTTGGAGGCTCTCCAGCTGCAGACTGATGGGGGTGGGTGATGGTTTTGCAAAAGAATTTATTTTGAAACATGTTATCTTCAAAGGAACTTTGGTCTTTTGTGGTGATGCCACAAATCTTATTTAACCAGTTTAATGGGTTTTAGGGCCAAATGCAGGGCTCACCCTATCTGCTCACATCCACTCTGGGTGGTAAAAAGTCTCTTTGGCTAATTTTAGCTCACGTTCTTGTGTTGATAATAAATATTCAAATGGTAGTCAGACAAGTGGTTTTAATAACAGAACATAAACAAGACTATTGTTTTCATTTAATTCTAGATTTTTGTGTTTTTACTTTGAGATACACGAACTTAGTAAATAAGACTTATTTTTTTGTCTAATGGTAGCTTAAATCGTACCATTCATTTTGGCTAAAAAGGCTGTATTAAACTTAACTTTCATTAAGTTAAGAGTCGGAAAAAACATTCTGTAAACATTGTGGCTTAGAAAAAAAAACATTTTTTGATGTAAACCAATGTTTTATAATCTAATATCGTCTATAAACTCCAGAGATCAGTTATTTAGTCATGCCTTTTCTTGTGCATAAGGTAAGACCCTCCTCATAGTCTCACATGGCAGCACAGAGACCTTTTAGTTATTCTATTCCCAAACAAAAATAACCCAAACCAGGTTGTTACTGAATAGCTTACAAATAAATAGGGACTTGTGGATCAGAATATCAAAATAACATCAGGAAGGGGCAATATGGAGCAGCAAAAACAGCAGCTAATAAACATTTATAAAGCAAACAATTATAAACAATCCAATTCATGCCCTCACAGTCAAAATCAAATTTCCCACAACTATCTGGTTCATTCAGGTCTTTAACTCATTCAAGAATAAGGAAGAAGCTTGTTTTAGGGAATAACCACATCAAAATATGTGCACGATGCAGGATTTGTGGTTTCTATTTTAGTTTTGCTTCCATATTCCTGCTCAGACATCAGCTGGGCCAGTCCAAAAGGACAGGAACCTTCCCCCTAAAGATAAACAGCCACAGCTCTCTTACTTCATAATCACATTTTGGCACAGTAGTTAAGCAGCACACATTACCCTGCTGTAATTAGGCCACTTGTCTTACCTGAATCCTCAGAGCAGAGCAGGCCTGCTGTGTAAACAGTCTCCACTCATTTCTGACTTTTCTCAACTCCCACTGAGAGGAAATAACGTGCACAGCGAAGCTGACATGGTCCAAGAGTTTAGACTGGAGCATGCACGATCGCCTCCGGACTACTACCAGGGCTGTGCGGGACAACGAGCCTGTCCGACACAACTATTGCTCCGCTGTGGGGGAGCGGATCGGTGCGAGAGAGTCTCAAACATGCCCATCGTCAATCGCTCAGCAATGGCTGCGTGCGCGAACAGACAAATCGCTGATAGATGACCGCGTGAGAAACTGGGAAACAAAAATCCCCGACCGGTGAAAAGGAGAGCGCCGGAGGACCGTGTGGGCTCCAACAGCAACACAAGTCGGCAGCTGACACATCGAATTGCCTCTGATCACACCGGGGGAACCCGGAGACTCCAGCCACCGAGCAGGAGCTCCCGGTAGTGACCGGGTGGGCTAACGGGCTCCACTTCCGATAAGGAACTGAGACTGCAAAAATAACAACTTCCTACAAACGTAATTATAAATCTGTCGAGCGGATGTGGAAAATTCCCAGCACAGTGACAGCTGCGATGGCACAGATGAAGGCATGTTGTTTATTCCGAAGGCCTGCTTTAAAGTATCTCGTCTTCGAAGTGGGCACACATGGTCATCTAATTGAGTCATATCGGAGATTATCGAGCCTATATAGGCCGCCATGCATCACGAAGACGGATGTCCCGTCTAAGTTCGCGTTTCACCTGGTTAGCAGGCTGACGAGGGGGAGGGGGGTGTTTAACCACAAACCATCAACGATATTCTTCCATCTTGGTCAAGTGGTGAATTATTCTACTGAGGATGGGAGCCGATCACAGCCCGAGTGATGTTCTCCTCCTCCAGGTTACTGGATGGCCCAGCAGCGAGCCCTGCAGATCACGTTCAATAAATGCCTACAAACACAAAATCACTTTTTCATGGGCTAAACTGTGTCAGGATCCGGGCTGTGGATTTCACACAGAACCGGCACGCGTGGATACCAGCTTCATGGATGTCCTCTTCAACTTGGCTGTCCGTGCATGTGACACGGTCCTACATATGAAAGGCTGTGGGATATCAGCGAAACATCACCTCAACTATCGCAGTTTCTCTGAGCCACGGACAGAGAGAAAAATAATCAAATAATCAGGTCAAAGTTTGGCAGAGTTGAACTCGCCCCCGGTAGCGTTGAGCAATGCCCCCTTTAATGCCCCCTGCTCGCCCGTAACGCCTTTGTTATTAGTAATCGCATGGTACCGTGCCGTCTTACCTTGCGCTCCGAGCTGTGGACAGACGGAGAGCCCGCACACAGCGCAACAAGCTGCCGCCGTCTTCACGTGAGCTTCGGTGGGGGTCCACGGCTCGGTTTTGGGAGCAGAATGCAGCGAGCTATTCTGGCTTGTCCTCGCGGTCTTCCCTTATTGCCAGTTTTCGGTCTGCAGCAGCTGGAGATGAAAATCGCGCACCCTGGGTCCTAGCGCCGGGTTAAGCCCTACAGGTGAAAAACACACAGGGAAGGTAAGCGGTGGGCTGCAGCTTTTGGTCCAGTAACCTCAGAGATCATAAGCTACAGAAGAGACTCGGAGGAAAAACAAACCGTGGTATTATTTTATACATACGTAGCTTTGAGTTTAACTTCAACACTTTAGGGCTTTGGAAACAGTCCTGCCATTTGAAGTCATCACACACAGGTGTGAACATGTTGTTTTAATTTCTCGCTGGCTCCAAGTAAAAAGGTTAATTTAAATGTTCATCCTGGCAAGGAACTTTTGATTGCACATTAAAATTCTCAGATATCCCTTTAGGATAGTAAAACCCCTCCCTGATAAATAAAACCTAAACCATTCTGCCCCTGGTCAAAATCAGAATCAAGGGTTTTATTTTCACAACATTAGGACATTGCTGCTGTACTTGGTGCAAAAAAAAGAGAAGAAATAAGCACAATAAAATAATGATATAATAGAAGAGCATAATTAGAGAAACAACAAGACAGGGATCAGAGTGGAACAGTCATGTGCAAACACAACATAGGTCAAGTGACTGAGACAAAGCGACTGGAGTGGACGGTCTTAGGATGGTCATTCATAAGTTCAACTGCAGAGGGCAAGAAACTGTTCTTGTAGTGAGAGGTTCTGGTCAGCTGTGAACTGACCACACCCCAATGTCCTGGAGGTGTACAAGTCCGGAAGTTTGCATCCAATGACCTTCTCAGCAGAGCACACAACATCCTGCAGTCTGTTCACATCCCTGATGGCAGCTCCAGGATTCAGTGATTGAAGAGGTGAGGATGGACTCAATGGTTGCGTGTAAAACTGCCTCATCGACTGTACTGGCAGGCTGAATTTCTTCAGCAGCCTCAGGAAGTACATCCTCTGCTGGGCCTTTTTTATGATGGAGGTGATGGTGGCATCCCACTTGAGGTCTTGGGTGATGGTGGTGCCCAGGAAGTGGTCTGGATTTTTCTGTACCTTTGTGTGGGATCTGTGACACCAGGGTTATGTAAAACTTAAGGGTAATGAGTGATTCTTAATAATTGGAATGAGCTACACTTCTAAGCTTGATTTGTTAGGACAGTAGTCATTGATCACAATGTGAAATCTTGCTGAATTTGTTTTAAAGCTTTCCAACATATACATATCAATAGTTAAAAGCAATTTACCAATGCAACACTACTCAAATTAAAGTTAGACAACAAATATTACTATGTAAATGCCCACAACAGAGAAAGTGTTCCTTTGTCATTTGACAATATGACAGGAATAGGACAAAATAAAGGTTTCAAAAGCACCATATTACATTTCTGACAAAACAAACAACAAAAACAGGTAAATTATGCTAAAATGGTCTTCACAATGTTTTGATAGTCTTGTTTACATTTCAAACCACAAAGCTTAAAGTACTGAGCAGAAAATGTAAACTACCTGCAATTTCTCTATATATGTGTTAATTTTATTTTTACACTTCCTGTTTGAAAGTGTGTGGGCCTTAAATGAAGCTCCACCCATCCCTTATTGTTCACCTTTTACAAATAAAATGTGTTGTACTTTATAAGAACTGAGGACAAACTGTTGTGATTTTAAAGGTGTGGAACACTGAAAACAATGTTTTAAAATCAGTTTTGACAGTTTGAGGCTATGCAGCTGTTGGAGTCCCAGATTAATGAAACATGCATGTTTTTGGTCTGAGGGAACCAAAGGAGCTGGAGAAAACCCACATATGGACAGGGAGAACATAAATTTATGCAATGCAAGCAGCCTGGATTCAGACCAGCGACTTTCTTGCTGCGAGGCAACTGTGCACCATGCATACGTTTCTCACTCAACCTGGTGTTTATTTAGGTTTTCCCCAAATAATTTCAAACTGTATAATTATGTATTTTTATTTTTTTACTGTTAGACATTTAATCTTGTTAATGAGTAATAAATATGTTTATTTTCTCTAAAATAATTTTTCCATTTGGCAAAAGTCAAAACCAAATTTGTGAATAATTTGCTAAATACATCGAATGGTTCTAATTATGTTTTACTGATGGTGACAATAAATTTCCAGATCAGTTAGACCAGTCCTGCCAAATGAAACCCCCAACCGACCTAATTTGACTGAGGATACTGAGCACTGCTGCAGCAGCAACAGAAGGTAGCTCCTCCACCCTCACATACATCCTATGACATCTGGGACTACAGCCCAGATTATTATGGACTAATACTGTGGATTTCTTGGAAAAAAAAAACAATTAAAAAAAACCCCAACTAGGTCTGAAACTAGAATGAAGAAATGCATCATCCATCAGCTGATACTGTAAGACAAGCTTTTGACTAATAACTCTATGGCAATAACCTTGTTAAAGATAACATATTATTTCATGCCAAGCAGTGCTATTTATAGATTCAGCTAAATAAATGAGAACAAATTGAGTCTTCATGATAGGCTGTTTAAAAAAATAAAAAGCCAAAAAAACTTGTTTAAAGAGCAAGGTGACTAAGATACCATTTTTATTTGTAATATTTCAAATACAGCCAGTCAATCAGAGTTTCACATGCAGAATGAACATGAAAATTGTCTTTCACCCCTATTTCCTGCATTAGCCGCTGAAAGAAAAGACAGGAAAAATGCTCTGGTCAGAAAAATCCACACAGTTCTACGCCACACTAAACATAAGCATTCATGGACTCATCCATCTTAGCTAGCGAGAGGGGAGGGCTCTCAGCCAGTAGAAGCTAATCGTTAGCATTAGCAACGCCACAACATGGCTGACCACTTACCAGCTTGTATTTTTTGCGAAAATAACACAACAACGTTACATCACATTTCTGTTAGCCAATCAGAGGTGAGACGTCTGAATATCAGGAACACTACTCCCTTACTTGGCAATTAAAAAAAAACAATTCTGATTCTAATGAGTAGGACTCCAAATCAGGGGCCTCATTTATAAAACTTTGTGTAGAATTCTTACTAAAAGCTCAGAAAAAAATTTTTTTTTTACACAAACTAATTTTCCGACCTATAAAACCTCTGCTTACGAACGGCTCCATGCAGTTTCTGATTAATAAATCACACCTGTCCCAGAAATGTGCTCAGGTGCTTCTGGATCACATCTCGCCTCCTACACACCCATTTTCTGTCATAAATGGACAATGCAAAATACTTAATGAATATTGTCCAAATATAAACCTGCTTATCTGCCGCATGTCACAGGTAATCATGACAACCAAGACTCCATCTTAAATTGTTTTTCTTTGCAGAGCAAATCTCCTGAGTCATGTTCTCAGTCATGTTCTCACGCTGTACAACCCAGTGCTTAGATGCGACTGGACTGCTTACACTTTACGTTTGGTAGCAACATGTTGGACCTAAAAATATGCTAAAAATAGTTTTTACACAACATGTCTGACCCAGAAGACCCCAGAGACTGTTATTGATGTCTGTGGTCCTTCGGGCTTGCAGTAGCTGTAGGAGGACACACATGGGTTTATGGGGGTTGTAGGAGAAATGAGAAAATAATAAAGTAAACCAATGTTTTGTAATCTGTTTTACTTGACTTAAACACAGCAAACACACTTTCCTGACAATCCTTGTCATTTTGTGCAGAGAATAGTGTAAATATAAAGAGATGACATGTGTGGACACAGAAATAGCTGGGCAGCCGTGTTGACGTATGATCTGTGAGAGCGGTTGCTTCTCATTATACTACACAACGTAAAACTTGGCCCGACCTGGAAGATTATCGCATGCACAAGAAAAATCGGTTCAAAATAGGCCAAAAATTGCAATCAGTGGAAAACGTCTGACACCAGTATTGTTCTGTTGCAAAATGTGCAGGCGTGCAATGACTGAAGGACCCAGGTAAATGCAGAAGTGTGGTGGTTCTATACCAAGTTTTTAAAAGGCATGAAACAATGTTTTAAGTTAGCTTGTTTTGCAGATTTGACATTGTAGTTTTAACTTCTAATTAGCTCAGGATGTAGAACAGGTTGTCCAGTAATCAGAAGATTGCAGGCTTGATCCCAGCTCCCGGCAGGGAATTCTGCTGTTGTGTTCTTGAACAAGACACTTAACTCTCCCTGCCTGCTTGTGGTGGTCGGAGAGATTAGTGGCGCCTGTGCTTGGAAGCCGAGACTCAGTCAGTGTGCCCCAGGGCAGCTGTGGCTACATTGTAGTTCATCACCATTAGCGTGAAAATGTGTGTGTGAATGGAGGAAGTCCTCTAACTCTGAAATACAAGTGCAGGTCATTTATCATTAGCATAGTCACCATTGCCAGGCAAAAAGACATACACTGAGGTGAGGACAGGAATTAATCTGAATCCCATTTCCACATACAGGTACCTACGCCAGCCTACACGATCCAAGTGGACCAGATCCTTGGAAGGATGCAGCCCCTGAATTTGTACACAGCTGCATGTTGCATGCTGCTGCGCTTAACTTCAGGGATAATTTCAAGATCTTGGTTTTGGTTTTTAGGGCCTTACATGGACAAGCACCATCATACATTGGTGATCTTCTCAGTCCCTACACATCCAGCAGGTCCCTGAGGTCCACCGATTAAAGAATACTGGTTGTGCAGCGCACCAGGCTAAAGACCAAAGGTGACAGATCCTTTGCTGCTGTGGTCCACATACTTTGGAGAGCTCTTTCTCTGAGATGAGTAGCCTCAGTGGTCTCCTTTGAAAAGCAGCTGAAAACTCATCTGTTCAGGCTGGTTTTGACGTGACCTTCAGTTG